ACAGAAGCAGCAAACACTAAATACTAAGTTCGCTGGTTCAAGCATAGCTGCCCGTGTTGATTTGCGGTCTATTCAATTGCAACAAAGTTCCTTGCTCTGGATTATCATGCAGCACAGGACAAATCAACCCATTGTTCAGCTGCCGTGAAAGGCACACATGGAGGCTTCCGCGCGGAAGCTCCTCAAAGCTTCTCGTTTGCTTGCATTGCTGCCAGCAGACCTGTTGGTTGATTGACTTTGCGCCGCTACTTCAGCACGATACACCGTTAAATGAGGTTCACAGGCCAACCAGGCAAACTGGCGAAACAGCTTGCAATCAATATGCGTTGTGTTGGTGGGCGTGCATTATTCTTCGCGATCGAGCCACATGCAAACCTTGCTTGTGTTGCTTTGCTATAAATCCAATCAAAGCGTAGTTGTCTAACACTTTGCCGTTCAGTAATTGCATGAACTGCCGCCAGTCATGTGTGCCTGGTGCACACTTGCTGTTGCCCAGTGGGACTGGCATGGTTTTAACTCGGGCCCTCACCCATCAAGCTTGCTTTCGTCTCCTGATTCACTCCCTCCTTCATCTTCGTCCGAGTCAGCTTGGTCAGCGTCTTCTTTCGGCTCCTCCGACACACATACACGCATATGCTTGGGCTGCACAACATGCATGTGTTTGTCAGCACCCTCCTGGACATCAGAACCTTCCTCAGGGTTGTCCGCCAAAAGCCGCTCGTAGAGTACCTGACTCAAACCCGCTATCTGCTAGACCCAGTTACCGGGCCGCGCCTCCTCACCACGTTGTCTCTTATCAAGCTCCCGCTCCAGGAAGCGCTGATCAGAAACCTATCAGACTTAGAGGCCCATGGTGCACACAGAAATTCAGAATATCTTTTGGCAGCCTGGTTCAAGTTGCTTGGGATCCAGGTCTGCATAAACACCTAGCATGGCAAGTGCTTGGTTGGCAACAAGGGAAGCATGTGCACAAACACACGGGCACCTCATCTTCAATAGCATCGTCCTCAAACTTGCCATCTGCTGCATCTTGCAACAGCTCCTGCAGACAAGCATGTCAGATACACAAGAGGTGATCCGCGAGTGCAAACCAAACCTGCGGGGAAAAAACATGGGACTGACTCGGCAAACTTGTTAAAAGCAATAATCAAAGAACTTATGCAATTGTTTCTCTCTCAGGCTTTATCTCTTCTTCTTTTTTTTCAGGAGAGTGCCCGAGCAGTCTAGCCGATTCCGTGTCTCTCCCACTCCTTGCAAGCCTCCACATCCAGCGATTCATTCGCTGCACTTCTGGCCGACCTATCTGAAAGCAGTTGTTGCCCAAGGTCGCAGTTTGCAAAAAAGCTGGGGCTGAACTTCTTTGCATAGTGTATCTGGAATTGGCGCCATGTCGTGGTAGCATTCGGGCAAACTAGAATCATAATTTCTGCTGAACATATTACAATATCCCCCCACCCCGTTAAGGACGTCTGAAAATGTAATTTGCATTTTCTGGGGTTTGGCACCTAAAAGTGCAAGATTGCATTTTGGACGGTGGTAGACCTATAAGCAAGGTACCTCGCACATAACCAAGTTACAACTTCATGAACTTGCCCCACTTCAAAAGCCTCTGCACATGCGCCACATCTGCCTCTCCAGCATCATCAGCTTACATTTTGTGACTCTCCTAACTTTTGTTGGGGGAGGGGTGAGAAAAAGTAACTTTCGACGTGACCAGCCGTCAAGTTACATTTTAAGCCAAAAAAAAAAACGGATATAACCCGGAAAAAAACACACCTGGGGGGGTCCCTTACATTTCTTTCCTTTCTTTTCTTTGTTTTTTTTTGGGGGGGCGGGGAAATGCAAATTACATATTCAGACGTCCCCCCCTCCCCATTCTCGGTCCCTAAGGATGTGGGGATATTACAATCATCCTCATTTATACCAAAATGGTGCATTGTTGCGCTAGCAGCGTACTTGCCCACCAAACTGCCAGCCTCTGCAAATCACGCGTGACAACCTGGTCATCCACAAAGTAAACATATTGATTGCCAAAGCTTAGGCTCCGCGCAAAGTCGAACAATCGCTTCACGGGTATCACTTCGCTGAGCATCCGCTTGCCGAAAAAGCTGTTGACCTGAGGCTCGCTCCGAGTGGTTCGCCCACTTGCAGCAGAGTCCGAGCTGCCGGCATTCACACAGTCCCTTTTCAAGAAGTCCAAAGCGTGCGGATGATCACTCTCCACTGACTGAGAAACGTCAATGATGTAGAGGTTCCCGGCAAAGTACAACCTCAAAGGTCGTTCTGCAGCCACACGCCAATCAAAATCATGTTGTGCACTGGAGCTGGGGAAGCACTCTCCCATGGTGATTTGCAACATAACAAGAAAATCCAGGTTATGCCAGGTCTGGGTAATCATGAAACGAAGCTTGGGGCAAGCTCCTCCGTACCGGTTGATTTCTGCACCAAGTCAGCTGCTTTTCGTTGGCAAAGGTTAACTTCTGCAGACCATCAAGAGTATGGGTCAATGGTCAGTGTGGCAAAATATAAATCAGGTACTCCGAACACTGTTCCAAAACATATGCTTGTCAGAAACCCAACTTGCACACTGGCACTTAAAGGTAAGCTGACCGGACCTGTCAAAACAGATGGCCTGCAAACTCTTGAGGCTTGCCAAGGCTCGGGCATGTTATACTCGGAAAGATCTCCGTGTACTAATCTGCATTGCTGCATCCTGCCATCAACCGTTCTGACGGGAAAAAGTTTGGCCTCATTTAAAACGGAAAGAAGTAAAACATGCAGGGTCAACATTTTGCGCATCAGCACAGCGCAGTCAATGTACAGCGACTGCCAGGCCGATGAGTCCAGGCCATCCGTATCCTGGCCACACTCCCATTGCCCCGAAGCCTGTGGAGGTCTGAAGGAGCCTTCAATCTTGGAGCGGCATTGCTCTCTTGCCCCAGAAAGTCCATCACCAGCACGTTTTGACGTACATCGATGACCTGCACACTGTCGGCATGGATTACATTGCGCCTTTTCTTGGCAAATGCGACGGGGACATCTGAGCTTCGATTGGCCTCCGGGCATGGGATGCCGGCCGCCGCAAGGCGCCGAAGATTGCGCATCTCCTCATGGCGGAAGTTGCCAAAAAGCCGCACGGAGTCGAAACGGAGTCCTTCTCTGCCCATTGAGCGACCATTTTTCGAGGATTGCCTTTGCAGTAGCCCTGAAAGGGGGCAGAAATGGTCAGGGACCACAAGAAGACATAAGCCATCCACTAAAAAGCAGCTCTGAGGCACAAGGCCTGTCGGAAGCGAAATTCGCCTTCAACATATCTTGCTCGGTCTTTGAAAACCAAGATGGACGTTTTGTAGACCTCGCCACAATGCAGTTCAGCCGAGACACGAAGCGAGAATATTCTCAATCAATTGGCGCTGGCCTGCCTTCACCGCTCTCTCACTGCCATCAGCGCTGGTCGCATAGTACACCTACATGGTACACAAAGCAACACGGACAGGATTGCACGTGATCTCAGCCACCAGCGTTGGCTTCCTTCCCGGTGCTGATGCATCCGTGGATCTCATCCTGAGCACAACGGGTTAGGACACGGAAGTTGGAGCGACTAAAACTTGCTGCCACTTCAAGGCTTTGCAATCAACTACCAATCTAATTTAGTGCACATCCCAAATGGACCATAAACTCCTGGAAATTCTGACAGAACCTCACTTGCACATGGATTCCATGATCTACGCATAAGCCCCCAGCAAAGAGACCTCGCTTCAGGAACTTGCTTAGGACATGCATGGTCCGAGGGTCAAGAACTTGCTCCACCGTTGCCTTGGCTACAAGCATTGCATTCAGATTTCGAGATGCTAAGGTACCTGCCCGCGAGTCCTGTGTGAGGCCCTGATTCCTGAATGCGGCTGCCTCACATTCAAAACTTGACGTGCCAAGTGTCTCAACCACTAACCAGCCATGACCAAGCACAGAGTCCCAACAAGACACCGTCAAACACCAAAGCGTCACGTGCATCACGCAGCGTTGCTGTGTCGTGGAGCTCCACAGGCGATACAGTTCTTTCTTCTAGGTGTGCAAAGCAACACTTGAGCCGGAGGGACACCATGTTAGCAACCACGCCTTCCGTTCACTTTGGACAGCTGAATTCTGCGCAGCGTGACCTGGGCAAACGCTGCAACTTGCGCCTGTGACTACAAGTAGAAAGTGATGTGACAATTTGGTGCAACTGTGCTACGTTTGATATGGGAGTGGCACGGCATTGCTGAAAAGGGCGTGACCAAACCCGATCATTTCGCAAGAAGCAGTTCCTGTGTGCAATCCGTCAGGGTCCGGCTCATGGCAGCACGAGGCAATGGGTCAAAGTTGACACGAGACTGTAGCCGCTGCACGCTTGCCTGGGGCAAACTCAACATGTCTGTGACGTATTCCGCGAGCTCTCGTGTTTTGTCATGTTTTCTTTTTCCACTCTGTACCGCAAACTGGATTCATTCAGGCAGCCTGAATTCCAAGCTAATCTCCGAACTTGCTGAGGCAAGCAACAAAGTCATCCTGATATGCGAGTCAAAGGCTACAATCCATAACCTACATCAAACGCCAGCCTCAGCATCGAATAGATGCGTTCGCCCAATTCCAACAACTTGAGAACATTGGACGGGCTTGGCTCGTCGAATTTACTCTGGTGGGGTTTGGCCTAATTCAAAGTGTGCCCCTTTGGCCGCAGGCGTCCGCCCTAGAACGGTGTCAGAAGACGGGCAACTTCAATCACCTTGGAATATGTTTGCCCCAGGCAATAGCCAGCACTGGCATACATGAGTCAGCCTCATGGGCAACTAAGGCTTGAGCAGCGGACGGCAATCTGGGCCAAGTTGGTAAAGCTGCCAGAGATGTAGAAACGTCTGAAGATGAAGCAGGCTTGACCTCTCCCTCTCCAGACGCCCAACCATGGATGGACTTAATGATCGCACGCACGGTATTGTGATCACTCATCAAAGGGCAATGAATGACCGGATCGTTGTGGCCTTCACCCTCAGACAAAATAAGATGTACTTTTGCTCCTGCTGCAGTAAGATCTCTGCAAAAAACCTCTGATTGCTCCGTGGGAACAATCTTGTCACTGGTGCCATGAACAAGGAGACTCGGCGGCCAATTCTTCGCAATCTCAGCACACCCACGCACCAGCAACCCCGGTGATCGGCTGTCTCGCACAGCTTGGGTGTTGCCAAAGACCAGGCGCTGCAGCTCCACGTCAATCCCCTTACGATGCAAGTGTGCCATGAAACGTCCATGAAAGTCATAGATGCCACCGAGGCCAATGAAGCCCGATAAGTCTGAAATTGACCATCTGCCTGGGATGCTTGCAAATCAGAACTCCAAAATGTATGATGCTAGGCGCCTTACTCCCTCTTGCTTAAATCAAAAAAAAACAAATCAGCTGTGCCTGCTTCTGATTCTGGACCAGCATGGCAGGTATCTTTAGCTGCACGTCGAGCAAGCAGCAAAGCGGCAACATGTCCTCCAGAAGAGAGTCCCAGAAGCCTTACAGCTGTGAAGCAGAGTGTGACTGCTACAATAGTATGATGTTTCAGCTCTGAAACTATAAATCACCAAGATCCTTGACCAAAACTGTCTGAGACTGCTGAGTACGTTCCAAATCGCCAAAGGCTGAACGGATTTGCGTATATTGTGTTGGCTGTGAGTATGCCATTTGCAGCAGCCGAGGGAGCAAAACCCGGGCAAAAAATCAAGCGCTCTGCATTTCGAACCAACAACCACAAGCACCGCCCAAAACAGCATGTCCTGCAGTACGGCATTTGGTAGCACCTAATTGAACAAAGGCAATTACACTTGCTCTGACACTCTAGAAGGATCATTGTCACCCTGTCCTGCCTCCTGAGACATCACCAGCACCGCACCAACACTTCAGCACTGTGTTAATCCTCAACGTGGGAAAACCATTGGCCCATTTCGAAGCCTTTGCTGTGGCACATTGACAAACAGCTGAGAGCATTGGCACTGTCGTCTTGAATGCATTGGGTTGCGCAGGTCACATCATGATAACTTAGACAGCACGTTTTGGCATCCACACGATACTGGCGGCAATATGATTCACGCACGCCTGCTCCTGAAGGCAGCTGTCGCTACGACAACACACGTCTCAAATAGCTTGAGGACATCACACGCCTGCCTAGACAAACAAAAAAAAAAAAAAAACCTCTGAACATCGAAGTCCCTTGACACCTGTGCCAGAACGACCTGCCGCACCTTTCACAACAGACTCCACCCCAAACAGCGCCCTCCGCCCCAACCCGCCCCCGCAACTCACAAATCGCACACCGGTGTCAGAACCTGGAAAGCACCTCAGCACCTGTGCCAGAACCCAGATCACAATATCGGGAATCTCAGTCTTAAGCCTGTGGCTTTCATCTGTTGGAAGACAAATGATTGAAGATACCGACGAGCAGCGAGACTTGTTTGGGATCGCCACCGTACTTGGCACAATTCTGAAATGACCACTCAATTGCTTCATCCACATCACTGACCATGCCATCAATGCCTGTCTGTGGCCAGTACCGGTAGTCCACTGCAATGCACAGAATTCCAGCCCGGCGTAGAGCACGGCACAACATGGTGACATAGCCCTTGTGGCCAAGTACGAAAGCACCCCCAGCAACGAGGATCAATACCTCGCATGCGCACTGAACTTGCACCCTTTGTTGGCATCGTATAAGAAGCAATTAGAAGTACGCAGCAAAAATGCGGTACAGTTGGCAGAAAAATGCTACCATAACGGCGGCGCACTACTGTCTCTGCCAGAAATGATGTGCCCCCAAAAGCTACCGTGATCAAGTTACAATGCTTCGCAAAAGGATTTACGTTTGTTGGGTCTGAGACGGCTTTGTTTGGAGCTATCAGCCATACTTGGGGGGTGCCATGATGTCCAAGACGATACCCAGCGAACATTCCATAAGTGAAAGGCAGGAGTCCTGGAGTTGATGTGGGTTGACTTCAAGAACTAGCGGGCGAGGTCGGTACACATGTTCAACAATCACCATGGTTTAATTGGCAAACGAGCATAAATCGTAACGTTTGCACTAGAAACACATCCAAGTCATCATGAGAAAACATCGAAGTTCTTCAGTTACAAACAGTCGCATCTGCAAAGGGACACCTTGCCAAGTTGCCGGGGTGCGCACCTCAGGATCCTTGCCAGTCAATCTGGCTTCTGCCGTTGAGCTTGGTAAGTAGACATCCAGCGTATGCCGAATACTGCCGTCTTCCTGACATGCATAACATGTGGGTATCGTAATCGCCGGAAAAGGCTTCAAAAGCCTGCGATCTGTGTCCAACAACGAAACTTAGTGCAGCAAACACAAAAATGTCTTTGGGGTGTTTGCATCAGTAGTGATTTGAGCTACAACTATGCTGCAACGCCCAGTCCTTATAACGGACACTCAGGATGTTCTTCCCGAAGGCCCAATAAGCAAGTCCACAAACCATAGCAGGCCAAAGAAATACGATGTACAGGGCCAGTCTGAGAAAGAATGTACCGAGGCGTATCCCTTGTAGTGGAAGATGCCAAACAAAGGTGATGAGACACCAGAGCAAATATTCCCCCACGTGCAATACTGCAGACGGAGGTAGCAAGGCAGAACTCAGCTTTCCGTTCTGAAGCTCATATCCTTGAGTTGGCCATGCGTTGCATGGTTTTCGCACCTCCATCACTTCCGTGACATGCGCGAGGATGCAGGCTCCAGACCCTGATATCTGGGAGCTAATGCTGCATCACAGGATCACAAGAAGAGACAAAACTTCCAGTCGTGGTACTTTGCACAACTGGTCCACTGTTTCGCAACAAATGTCAACAAGCTACCAAACCAAGACACGCCGCCACATGCTTCAAGAATCTGCATAAGCTCCATTGAACTTTGCTGCCTGCTTGGCGCCAATGCTGCCACCAAGATCATTCTTGCTTGCCTCAACCAAATTGCTAGAACAAAACTGGAAAACATCCATCTCATATCTCTGCACCTGCAAGGCACCAATGCAAAAACTTGAGCTAAGGCATTGGCACAAGCCCAGGCCTGATCAGTGTGGTGAAAGCTCCACGGATGTACTGGCAACAGAATAGTACATAAATCATCAAACAACTTGCCCACAAAAAACCTCAAACACAATTAGGTTGCTACTTCCCATTGCTTGCCTAATTTTGCAGAACAATGCAGCCCCGCATACCTTGTCCCCAAACACTCCCTCCTTTGCTTCAAAATACTATGGTCCCTCAGTAGGTCCTCATCAAATTTGGGGACATGTACTCATTTGCACTCCCCTGCCTCCTCGTAGTCATCCAAATCTTCGGATTCTGAATCAGGATCCTCCGCTGCACCTTCCTGTATGCGAGCTTTCACCCAGCAAATGTGTCAGCCGAACGATGAATCACTTGTCTGGATGCAATGCCTGCTTTATTGCCGATATTGACGTCATGTCATTTCAGACATAGCCTCGTGACCAGCCGCATCCCGTGCACCGGCCATGTCGAGGATGCCGAATCTACTGCATCATGTGAACTGAGGGTGAACTAATACACAATTGGAAGCATGGTTACGTAATTTGCGTTGATTGTCATTTTGCTCGCAATCACTTAACGTTGAAATGTGTACATGACAAATTCTGGCCCGAAAGCACACCCCGCTGCTGCGCTGCTGGAGCAAGAATACAAGCATAGGAGTTCGAGGTAGCACTGCCACCAGGAAAATGTTGACAACCTGTAATCCAAAGTAGTCGCATGTGTCCAAGCCTATAGTTATTTGCTCTTCGTGCAAGTGGAATGCTGCGTGCGGGTGTGTTTGTTGTTTGCGAGGCGGGCGTCATGCATAGTCAAGAGGTCCGAAAGGGTATGAATCTCCTTCGCTGCGCGTGCTTGTCATTGGGGGGCATGTGCGCAACGAAGCGACCAGGTAGGCCTTACCATCTGGCTGGTATTCATGCAGTCACGCGGCGGCGCTCACGAGTGTCCGTGTGCGGGGGCTGGTATTCATGCAGTCACGCGGCGGCGCTCACGAGTGTCCGTGTGCGGGGCCTTACATACGTACATATGTACATACGTACATACGTACATAAGTACATAAATTACAAACATGCACGCATACATTCATACATTCATACATTCATACATTAACACATTCATACATCCATACATTCATACCTTCATACATTCATACATACATACATACATACATACATACATACATACATACATTACATACATTGCATACATACATACATTACATTACATTACATTACATTACATTACATCACATTACAGTACATTACATTACACTACAGTACATACATACATACATTACATACATATCTTACATTACAATACATTACATTACACTACAGTACATACATACATACATTACATCCATACATACATACATACATACATACATTACATGCATACATTCATACATTCATGCATTCATGCATTCACACCTTCATACATCCATACATTCACACATTCATACATTCATACATTCATACATTCATACATACATACATTACATACATTGCATACATACATTACATTACCTTACATTACCTTACATTACATGACATTACAGTACATACATACATACATACATACATTACATACATATATTACATTACATTACATTACATTACAATACATGACATTACATTACATTACAGTACATTACAAACATACATACATTACATACATACATACATACATACATACATACATACATACATACATACATACATACATACATACATACATACATACATACATACATACATACAAACATTACATACATACATACATACATACATACATACATACATACATACATACATACATACATACATACATACATACATACATACATACATACATAACATGCATACATTCAGACATTAACACATTCATACATTAACACATTCATACATACGTACATACATACATACATTACATACATACATACATGCATGCATGCATGCATACATACATACATACATTACATCCACTACATACATTACATATGTCAAGAGACGGCAAGGTGACGTCCCGTGGGACGCTATGCACCGAACCCTCAAGCTGTAAAACCAACCACGTAGAAAGGTGTATACGGATGATGCCGTTATAGCCGAACCCGTGTAAACGTTGTAAGGGAGAAGGAATGATAGTTACAACAGTGGTCCTGACAAATGCAGCGCAAGCGAAGTGTTTTCGCTCTCAATGCCGATCACGTATGTATGCAGTCACACATCAGATCTTTAACCTCAATTGTGTCTTGAGCCAAATGGCGATCAATGGAACTTGGGAAGCAACACCAACAAGGACCTCAGAACTGCTACCCAATTTCGGCACGGGGCCTAGAGGGTTTTAACATCCCCCATTTGGGTCGCATTGTTCCACAAAACGTTCCACTGGCCACGGCTTCAACTACGAAATCGTGTCGTGCATTCTTTTACTTGCTATCACTACACCGTTCATTCGTTGTGAAACATGCCGGGTTCGATTGTACGAAAAGTGAAACATTCATCCATCAATCGAAGCACACTTCCATATGCAGGTGTATACAATACACAATCGTCACGTCATTTGACCACCAACGGACTATCCAGCTGCCGCATTTGCGCATCGCGCAGCTGTCATCCATAAATGGGTTGGCCGAAAAAGTCCACCAGAGGCGCCTGCTCGCAATCGGTCTGCATAATTCCGGCAAAGAAACATCGGTGAGTAATCAATGCAAATCATAGCCATTCCAGATACCATGGACAATGCATAAATAATGAAAAGATATCATCTATAAGGTAAAAGTTCCATCCATGAATATCCAGAGCGTCATAGTCATCGGAATATGTAACCATGTACACACCCAATCATCTTGGACACATGAATATAAATCATGACATAAGTCGTTCCGCCGAAACAGTGTCGATGTGACGCAAGTAACAGATGGGGACTGACCCACATCGTACCGCAATCAGCATCTTCACGAAGCATACCTGTCCCCAATGGACAGCCTATGGGTACGTCGGCGGAACTCCTCGTCCAAGTTCTTCTGGGCTTCTCGTGCCCGGACACACTTCTTGTTGTGATCCTCTGGCAACCAGTGCCCTTTCCGAAGGCACCAATCCAGCAGGGGTGTGTCGCACTTGTTCGGGTCGATGGCCGAGATGATGGCGCTCACGTTGACCGTGTAACCATTCTTGCCAAGGTTCAGGCCATCCCTCACGAATGATATATACTTGCAGTTGAAAGCCAGTGCAAAACATCTGAAAATAATATCACCCACCGGGTGCACTCGGTCCTTGACCAGGAGCTTCATTTCTTCTTTGGTGACATCGAGGATTCTCGCTGCAATCCACAGCTTGTAGAATGTGTATAGTCCCTCGCATTTGCACACCATCATACGAATATAATCTTCACGCTCCTCAATCGATCGGAAGGATCTTGTCCGGACATTCTCCGACTGAGAAATTTTCTTCGCTGTTGATGGCAAGAGTATACCTTCCTGATCATGATCGGTGATGTTGGGGTACCTCTTGAAGTCATTGTGGTAAGGGCAGCCCGGCCTCCCTTCGAGTCCGGCATTCATCGTTCTCTCCTCACCACCTTCAAACATCCCCCACATCTTGGACATCTGGAGTGCGATAAATCCTGCCATGTACTGAGCCTCACGCGGCTCGTCAAGGCAGATCGCCATCCGCTGGGAGCTTATAATGTCCCGTGACGCCAGATCAGTGTCGCGGTAATGCCAACCGCTGTCTTCTTCTTCTGACGCATAGCCGGATGTATATCCTTGCGTGTCCATGTCGTCATCTTCTCCCGGAACTTCCTCCGCTTCGTCTTCATCCTCCTGTGCTGCCGCATCGTGGTTAGCTTCTTCCTGTGCACGCCTGGCATCTCCAGAGACGTTGGGGTTTTGGTTGTCCTCCTCGTCATCGGAGTTGATGTGGATGTAGTATCTTCCGATGGAGATCAGTTGTGCCTCGCACTCCAGGCATAAGCAGAAGCAGGTGGGGATCGCGGTCGCACATGATGGACATATCCGGCACCTCAGTCCTTCCCATGTCTCATCATTCAGGATGACGACTTTGCTGATTTCGTCCCGGACCTCGTTGACCAGTGCGTTGAACTCCTCCATCTTGTTGTTTCGATAGAGTTCGCAGGCACGATCAACCATGTCTACGATGTAGCGCAGATTATCGGCACCTGTGTCAGTCTCCGGCATCCTCTCGCTGATCTTTGTGACGTTCTGAAGGAACATCGCAGCCGACTCTTGGGATGAGTTGACGAAGCCAGGGCAGATCTCGTTCTCCACACACTTCGAGTACGCCCTCTTGGTTTCAGCGTACTCCGGGCGTTTCCCCCCGTTGCTCTTGCCAATCCAAATGGACTTGACCTCATAGAACGGGATCACGTCAAAGACCATAAATGTCCCATTTGCCGCGACTCCAGCTCCATACCGCGCGAGGGTTGCACTGGGAATGTAGATGACCGCAATCGGATCTCCCTTCCTTACGTTCCGCAGCGTCGTCTTCGTCGCCACGTTCATCTCATCCCATGGAGCAAATGCTCCGAAGTGCAGCGCAAGCCTGTTACCGCCATCAATTCCGCCGGAGACTAACCCACAGCGTACGATGCTTGGCAGATTTTCCACATACGTCACATGGAATGCTCCTCCGAGAAAATCACCCATTCTTGCGGAATATCTATTCGCCAGTGCGGATGAGCTCATGAATCCAAAATCACTGTGACCAGTTGTGACTCGGATGCACCAAGGTCTGTACCATCCATTGCATCTGTTGAACATCCTGTCGATGTCGTCCCGACCCATGCCGGCTTTGGTCATTTCTTCCCTGGCCGCCCTGGTGTCATTCGGGTTCATGATGCTTGGAAACCTTGCTGCCAGGACCTGGAATCTCGATTTCCTACTTCCAGATTCCTGCCACTTGATCACCTCCATGATGCCCATATATCGTTTCGCTCTCGAGGTGCTATGTGGGAACATGTCGCTGTTCCGGTCGTCAATGACTGCGTCAATGTCGACCCATCCACCCTCGTCGCACCTGAAAGCACTTCCTCGGCAGCTGCCGATCTTGTGTCGAAGGACTCTGCATAGGTCGTGTGATAGCTGGTTTGCTTGGTCCTTTGTAGCAAATACCGAGCGATCATCACCAATCCTGCATAGTGGAGCACCGTCGAAAGGAGCAACGCAGAAGTTGACACTCTTGCCAAGTTGCATCACGTCCACCTGCTCAAGGATTGCACCTTTGGGAAAGTAATTGGGGTCAACGATGGACGCATACGCCCATGGCATGTGCACATCACTCACATCGCCATACTTCGGGATGTAGCACGGAATGGTATCACATCCCACCTCGAGCGTCTTCTTGAACGTCCTGCTGTCCCCGCACGGGTTGTAGGTGAGGTCGACGCCACCACATTGTAGCTCTCCTCCCTCGGCCGTGTCAGCCATCTCCACCAAGTTGATGGTATAGCTATACATCTCAATTGTTTCCTTCCCTG